ATGTTTTATTATGAAATCTTTATATTTGTCTGAAAGATTTCTAAGACGTGTCAAACTTTATTTCAGGACAATCCCGGAGTTGTTATCTGTGCAGATGACCAGAAACATGGACTTTTTGACGGTTCTAAAGTAAAGTTCTCTGAGGTCCAAGGCATGACAGAGCTAAACATAAGGGGCCCTGTGGAGATCAAAGTCTGCGGTTGGTGTTGCTCAACTATAAACACTTTTACTTGCTTTGTATTTTCTTAACTGCTGGGATGGTTGCGACAGTCTTGCCCCATGATACCATTGAGTTACATGACATTCTTCTCATGCCTGAGCATCAGGAGAGGATCATGTTGAAATCCTGTAGATTCTAAGAGAAACACTTTTTATCTTTCTCCCTGTAATTTTATTTTGTCATCTCGATCACCAGGCCCGTATTCCTTTAGCATCTGTGACACTTCTGGCTTTTCCGAGTATGAACGAGGTGGCATGGTGACTGAAGTGAAAGAGCCCCTCATACTGAATTTTGTAGGTGTTCACAGTTTGAACATTTACTTTAGCAGGAAATGTTTCAACAGTAAGTAAAATGATAACCAAATGCATTGCAGAAACCACTGGGTGAGGCTCTAAATGACCATCAACTGCTAATTTTGAACGACTACGGAAAAATATGCAGACATAACACTTTGCACCTGGCGTTCCAAGCCCTACACAGGTTTGTGAAGGAACAGCAGCGGCTTCCTAATCCTTGGTCACAGGTCAGTATAGACGTCGTTTGATGATATGATGACAGTACTCTGAAAAGTATTCCCCCTTTACACATTCCTACTGTTTTTTTAGGACCAGTTACAAATTGTGATTTATTAAGGAAAAAATTATCTAAACCAATCCTTTTTGAAACCTGAGTTGGGTTTCATTAACCAAACCCAGCCTTATATCCCTTTCCCACTTGCTGAAAAAGCCGTTTAAACCTGGGAACAATCGGCTCTGATCAGCATGCTTTGGTAACACTAGAGCCGGGTTCATCCGCTAATTTATGTGATCCCATTAGGCCCGATGTACGGATGTCAACAAATCCCAGTCTGATCTAACAAGCGGAAACAAATCTGTTTACATATGATAAACATGGCGCAGCATTGGTAAGAGTGATTCAGACAGATAAAGGAGTGAAACAATAAAGCACACTTACTACGACCTGGCTTCCTTACATGTTGCTCTCCATTGTTTACTTTCCTGATTTATCTTACACTGATGACAGCATCAGAGCTAGTCCAATGTGATGGTGTCACCAGACACGCAGTCACGGGCGAACAGAGACAACGCAGCTCGCCAGCTGGGGGTTTTTTTGCCAATGGGAAGGGAGCCAAATACCAATTGTTAGCACCATGTTTGAAAAACATGCATTAACCCATCAATTTCAGTGGGAAAGAGACTCATTAATGCCTAACCTGTAGAATCCAGAAACCTGACAACATGACATACTGTAGGTTAAAAGGCTTCGAAAAAAACAAACCATCATGTTCTAACCAAAAAAATTATATAGCAGGTTAGAAAAGAAAAAACAACAGAAACTACCGGTGATCAAAGTTACAGTTTATATTTAATCTGAAGGAGTCATGAGGGATGCCTTGTAAATGCCATTATCCACAAATGGATAACACAGAAATGGATAACACCATTAGGGTTAGGGTTCATGTTTATGAGTCAACAATTAGAAAGAGACAGAGCAAAAATGGTCAAAAGTTCTATTGGAAAAAAAAAAAGATAAGATTTATTTAGCATTTATTATTAAGCATCATGATAAGCCTCAAGACCTTAGGGGAAATGGTATATTAGTCATTTGTCTGATATCAAAGTAAGATCTTAAACACGTCCAAATAAACAATAAATTAAAGAAAAAAATTTTTTTTTTTTGGGGGGGGGGCTTACTGTTTTAGAGCACTGTAAGATGCAATAAACATGGTTGTTTCAACACACTTCTAAAAGTCATTCATACCTCATATAGGCAGATGCAGATTCTCTGATTAACATCGTGAACGAATTGAATGAGGATGCAAAGCTGGAAGAACTAGATGAAGCTGCAGTGAGGCGCTTCTCCTACACCGCCCAAGGTGATCTGGCTCCTATGAACGCTTTCTTTGGAGGTCTGGCTGCTCAGGAAGTTATTAAGGTAGCCTCAAATTTAAATATACATATATAGTTAAATTACATAATCTCTTTTTAATGTAAGGGTCCCTTATGACCCTTAAGGCTCTATAAACTAAAACTGATCAGACCTGTTTTTTTTGTATGTGATACAGAAACACTGGTGAATTGTTTCAAGAGATGCACTGATCATATTCGCTTAATAAATATCAATTTTAGTTTCTTTGATATGTATATACCTTATAGAATCAAAAATATGCCTTTTTTAAATGGAGGTTGTTATTTGTTATACAGCAGAAAGTAAGGGAATTGATTGGTGCATCTTTGTGTGCAACTGATCCTGGTAGAGCTTTGAATGTTAGTTTTTATTTGGAATCAAAATTTTTTTCCCTCTCTGAATATCCCTGCAGGCATGCAGTGGGAAGTTTACACCTCTACAACAATGGCTTTATTTTGACGCCCTGGAATGTCTCCCTGAAGACGGAGGTTGTCTGGAAGAGAGCTCATTCTCATCAGTATGCAAATGATTAGTTCGATTTAAACATCAACCTTATCAGTCAAACAGACTGTTGATTGATGATTACTCTGTCATTTAAGCTCTTCATTTTATCTCTCTCATAGAAAGGCACAAGGTACGACGCTCAGATTGTCGTCTTCGGCTCAGAGTTCCAACAAAAGCTCCTGAGGCAGAAGTATTTCCTGGTGAGGAAAGATTAGCAGTCTGTCCATCAGAGGGCAGACTTTCAATTGGAAATAGCCTAAATCCTATGTGTGTAGTTCTTTGATCTTCTGTGTGAATAAAGCCACATACAGGAAATGGGTTCAGCTTCCTGACAGTGGAAAGTTTTGGCTGCAGTGATCATTTAAAAGAACCCAGCCCGATCTCTGTTTCCTGCAAAATTGTTTTCAATTTCCATATCTGTTGTTATTATTGAAGAGGACATTGTACCATGTAGCTTATTTAATCACTTTAAAAGCTGAATGTAGTAATCAACTTAAACCAGGGCAGCAGAATATCAGGAAAGCACTGCCATGAACACCTTACAATAAAACCACTTTTTATCTATATATGATATGTAGAATCTTGGTCATCAAATTCTTTTTGCCATATAAGTAAATCCAAATGGTCCAATATATTATTGGCAGACAGAACATAAATTACTTACACTTAATAGACAGAGGTGGGTACTAATTAGTTACATTTTCTCAGTTATATTTACTTGAGCAACAATTTAAAAATATATATACTTTTAGGATTAGTTTTACTATGTCATACCTCTTACTCCTACATGAGCAAAATCTCTTAACTACTCTTCTCTGTGAGTAATTTAAACTTTTCCAAAATCCGGTAAACATACAGTAAACAGTAGATATCAACTGTGGAAGTCGTTACCTTGTCCTAACATATATACAGTTATTATTGTAAGGATTGGTTTTCTAAGTTTTATGTTGAAAAAAATAGGTTGAGGTATTTCTTCTGCATGCATTTGTTCTTTTACATTCATGGCATTTATTTGTAGTTTTTAGGGATTTGAGTCTTTAAAATGCCAGAACTTGTACATAAAGTCTGTTTGCCAGCATAGACATTAAATTTTATGTTATTATCCAACAGTTAGTACTCAAGTAGCCTTTTTATCGAATATTTTTTTTTACTTTTACTTGAGTTATTTCTTGCATGACTGCTTTTACTTTTACTTGAGTAAAAAATTTTAAAGTAGTACTACTCTTACTTGAGTACAATTTTTGGGTACTCTGCCCACCTCCGTAGACAGTAATGTAATACAATATACCACATTCAAACATTTATTTGCAATTGTATCACACAACATTTTGATATTTCAGTAGAAAATTCAATATTTTTTGCAGCTCTAAAGAAATAGTTTAGTGTTATGATGAAAAATCTGTATAAGAACTATTCTGTTAATCTGATATATAAAGAAGTCTCACCTGTGTCTGAAAAACTGAAAACTTTTTTTTAGGTTGGTGCTGGTGCCATCGGCTGTGAGCTGCTAAAGAACTTTGCTCTCATGGGGCTTGGTGCAGGAGAAGAAGGCCACATCACTGTAACAGACATGGACTACATTGAAAAATCCAACCTGAATCGGCAGTTTCTGTTCAGATCTAAGGATATTGGGGTAATAAATCTCACCAAATCTGTTGTTTTTCTAAGAACCAGATATTTGCAGGTTTGAATGATTGGTCAAATTCAACAGATAGTAAGTGGAACAGTCTCCATGATTGTTTGAGGGTCTCTATCCTATATTACACACAACTCATGTGAAATTGTCCATATTAAGTGCTTCATTTATCCATCATGTATTGCTTCATTTATCCATCATGTATTTTCACACACTAATCACTGATCCGCTCATGTTTCTGTAAACAGAAACCCAAATCTGAGGTTGCAGCCAAAGCAGTGGCAGAGATGAACCCACAGATTAACATCACAGCTCACCAGAACCGCCTGGACCCTGACAGTGAGGGAGTGTACGACTACAGCTTCTTCATGGGCCTGGATGGAGTGGCTGCTGCACTTGATAATGTGGAAGCTAGTAAAGGAGATTAGCATTATAACATAAAACTATTATTAACAAAAAATGGTAAGATCAGTTTTAAAAATGTTGACTCCTTTGCTTGGTGTGTTCTTAGGGGTTTATCTCGATAAACGCTGTGTTCAGCACCAGAAGCCGATGCTTGAAGGGGGAACTTTAGGAAGCAAAGGTCATACTCTGGTGGTGGTACCTCATCTGACTGAGTCATATGGACCGGCCAAATCGAGCTCTGGTAATGCTATCCCACTCTGTACTCTGAAGAACTTCCCACACCGGATTGAACACACACTGCAGGTACAAAGCTGAGCTCCTCTGCCTTGTATTTATCTTTGTTAAAGAGTCAAAGGAAATGCTCAAGATGAATAACAGCTCTACTCTGCAACTGTGTAAACTAATTAAACCTGCTATCCTTTCAGTGGGCCAGGGACCAGTTTGAAGGACTTTTTAAACAAACACCGGAAAATGTGAATCTATTCTTGAGGTGAGGCGGGACTCCACCCTCATCAGATCTAATTAGGGTCAAAACAAGAGCTAATTCCTCATACTGGGCTCAGGACTCTTAATTTTTTTATGGTTACTTGGACAAACATATTTTGACAACTCACTGAACTTTCAGGATTTGGCCTCACTATATTGACAAACTGTACTGAATTTTATTTAAAAGACAAAGTTGAAAACAATTATGAATTATAGATATAATAAAACATTTGTGGATCTATTTGACAACCAAAATCCCAAAAGGAGTGGGTTTCCCAACCCCATTACTCTAAATAAAATCTAATCTAGGTAATTGACTTGGAGAAGTCTCAATTATTAAATAGAGTCGTTCTGTATGAAGCATGGCAGCAAACACAACACAACTCAGTGGTAGAAGCTGTCAACAGGGCAACTATTACTACACAGATTCTGTCCTTTGTTGAAGTTTTTGAATATAAATATCATTGTTGAAAGAAAGCCATACATTTTTTTTAATTATTAGGCTAAACTAATCTGAGACTTTATGGTAAAGAAGCTGATTTTTGAAGCCTTCTTTACTATTGCTTTCATGATTTATGTTTGAGCTTATTTTAGAAATATCACGTGCAATTTATTGAGCTTATGACAAACAAAAAGGGTTTTAACTTAAGGATAGGAAAGAACACATTAATGGACAAGGCTTGCTTTAAAATGAATGCTTTAAATGTATTTCTCTTTGTTTGGCTTAGATTATATAAAATCCCCCAAACTGTCTCGTGCTTACCCAATCACGCGAATAGAAAAGAAGAGATTAACTTTAGAATTCTATTTGTTTTTCAGTGTACAATAAAGCCTTCTGGACTTTTTTTTTTCTGATGATGGTCATTCTCATATCACCGTCCAACAAACTGTAACTCATCATAAATGAGGTCATGGAAATGAATGCTTGTTTTATTCCACTAGTGTCCCACCCATGCCGCTACATGCAGAAGTATGACTCAGAAAGTTCCCGTTTAGGCATGTTTACATGTAAGATGGGGAAGAGCCCCTGTTCCTATTATGCTTGCAAGGTAGCGTAGGATGAAATAGAACACGGTAGTAGCTCAGGAATGAGTTTCCCCTGTATGAGATTTGAAAGAGGCTCTGGCCTGCATGGTACAAGCTAAATATACCGTGAAATGTATGCAGTTAACAATATTTTAAAGAGATTTTTTTTAAAATGCATGATTTTTTTTTTATTATTATGTTGCACATTTATAGCCAACCCTCTTGAGTTATTTCCATTTTTAATCTTTTAAGGTACAATAGGTCTCTACCGGATTTACAAATTAAAATACTAAAAACCTTTTCCCATTCTTCTTTTCAAAATGGCGCAAGCATAGTCTGATTCTTTTGAGAGCATCTCTGAAGGTTTTTTATTATGTCTTGTCACAAATTCATAATTATATTTTAATACAGACTTTGTCTGTTCTACTCTAACATAATTATACATTCATCAAACAGTTATCATATAGATGTGGCTGTATTTTTAGGTTTGCTGATATGCTGGAAGATGAACCCCTCAAGCCTCTTATAACGTGTCTTTCAGAGTCTTCTCATATTTTAACACTGACACTGTTGACATTCTTCACTACTTTTAGGACGATTTGCCATCTTAATGTTTGCACCTGCTGTTTTGCATGTAGTAATAAAAGTTCGATGTATACTTGATCTAACACATATGCCCTGTAAACAAAGATTTCTTTCAACAATAATCATCCTTTTGTCATTCTTCATGAAGAAAATGGATTTGGAAATCCAAGTAATGGTTATCTTGTTAAGCAAACCTCCATTCCATTTATTTTTTAGGCATCATACCTTTAGCTTTAGATATTTACCTAGTTACTCTATGTTAGATTTTTCTGTAAACTGTTTATTCTATGATTAAAAGCAGCACTGTGTTTTTGTAGGGATTCAAACTTCATAGAGCGAACTCTCGGCCATGGGGATGCTGAGGCCCTAGAGATTCTTGAAGGCGTATGGAGCAGCCTTCGGGAGAGGGAAGCTGGAGGACAGCGTCCTAAGAGCTGGGAGGACTGTGTGAACTGGGCACGACGCAAATGGGAGACGCTGTACAACAACGATATCTGTCAGCTTCTGCACTGTTTTCCTCCTGGAGAGGTAACATTCTAGTTAGCCTAAAACAGCAACTCCTATCCTTAGAGTCAGATATCATAAACATGCAATTAATGATTAAGGACACATAGGGGCGCTGTTGCTCTGTGCACTAACTTCCTGTGTCAGCATCAGCACATTGGCTTTAAAGCATTCATTGTGTCATTTTTTCTTACTATTTAAAAGCAAGTGCTGACAAATAAGTCTGAGGCCTCAAAGGGATACTAAGGAAATGCAGTGCGTAGACGATGGTGTCATGCTTAATATTGTGGGGGTAGGGGACACAGATCAGTGTCAACCCAAACAAACCCTCATTAACCCCAGTTTCTAACCCCCAGTTCCTGCAATTGGCCCTGCTGTGCTATCACTTACTGTCCTGCACAATTATGTAGATTCCTCTGACTGTTTTCTTTCCCCTTACGTCTGCTCAAATATTTGTCGAAGCAAGGAGAATTGTCTGAGAATGTCTTAAAAAAAACAAAAAGCAGAACTTTTTTCGACTTTATATCTTTATTGTCTTGCGTAAAGTTCACAAACCCCAATCCTGCCTATGGTTGTCTTTGCAGCTGCAGGTTTTTTTGTTCTCTTTTTCTGTCGTACTTTATCTAAACAACAGTTATATTTCCATTGTTCTTGTGGAAACTCTCTGGTTGCCACAGACTTTCTGAGGAACTATGATAAGGTGACTGATGTCAGTTATCTGTCACAAGCACACCTGACAAATACTGGTCATAGATAACCATACACATCATGAAACAGCAACTACTGGTCTGTTGCCTTCGCTTACAGCTCTAAGGCCTGATGAAGACAGCCGACTGGACTGTAAAGCTTGGCTTTATGAATTTTGCTATACAATAACCATATAGCTGCATATCCTCTTTTATTTTGTATGTTTAAACATGCTGTTGCTTAGATCAACAGCAAACATGCAGCTGCTGATGTGAAAGTAGGAGGAAGATTAAAGACTCAGAGAAATGCACATATTTTCAGATTCATAAGACTAAGTAATAAAACAAGGAATATGATACAAATCAAAATAATATTAAAATATATTAGTATATAGTGATATTCAAATGTTAGAGCTAAATTTTAACTTTTTTTTTTTTAGTTTTGCTTTAAATGGCTACCGTTATACATGAAAAAAAACGTACTTTTTTAACTGGAAAAATCCTGTGATGATTTCCTCTTTTATTGCAGTAGCATAATCTCACTCACTAAAATTTATGCCATTTCTAACGCTGTGATCGTTAGAAATGTTCCCCTTCCCCTTTTACTCGATTATAAGATAAACATGTTTATCTCACTTATGTCATGCTGTCTTTTTCATTTTCAAGACTGATGAAAAGATGTTTCTCTCTGTGTTAGAGCTAGGTAACATTGAGTTAAAATAGTATCAGGTTTTTTGCCATTTACTGTCTTCTACAAAAGTAAAACAATTGTTGTTTTTTTTATCCATAGCAACATCTACTGGAATTAAGTGTATTGTTATTTTTGTATGTCACTGCAAATTGCAGAGACTACAGAGGCTCTCTGAAAAAATCAAACTTCCTCAATTTCAAAGAGCACCCCTTAATATCTAACTTACATTATGCCCAACTCACAAGTAATTGATAGAGCATTTTCCCTACTAAACAGAATACAGTTACTGCATTATTAATATTTTTAAATATATTTATGTTTATTGATTGATTCTTTTAACATTGGAAAAAAAATATAAAAAGAAAACATACAGTACATTTTTTGGGCTTACATTACTCTCAAATAGAGTTTATCATGCTAACAATAAACTGCAAAAATATATATTTTTTGCCAATACCAAGAAATGTGAACATAATTGCTCTTCCTATGAAGACAGGAAATGTTAATTGATAAATAAAAGTTCTACAACACTGATTTAAAAAAAAAAAAGTATATATTCCTTCAAAATATCCTTCATGTAGGTCTAATTCTATAGAATTTGAGATTGGTTTAACACATGACTTAAAAGAAAATGTTGGATAAAATAATGTATTCACTCCACAGAAGTAAATATTGTAAAGTAACTTTTCTTTTCACAACAGTTTATTGTAGAGTCATGAGTAACCATAAGGAATGATACTAGAATGTAATTTATTGTTTTTTATGGTTGTTTTTCTTTTACAATATGACAAAAATAAATACATAATAATAACAAGTATTAATGTACTTTTGCAGCTGTGAGACCCCTAACAGCCCTAAGGACTTCATGTCTGGATGTCAGACTTATTACACCTATAATCCTCAAACCACATGATAAGACGATCATAAAAAAATACCAGTATTTAAAACAATATGTTTATTTGTTGTTAATTTGACAAGGCACAAATCAGTAGATGTAAAATATATATATAAAAAAATTAAAGCAAATTAATGTAACATCCATGTAGCATACATATACATACATGTACGATTAAGTTCTGTGTGTTTGTCTGCAAAGCATTACCTTTGGGCTTAAAGTTTAAGTGAAATTACATTTAGAAATTGATTACATGGGCCATCAGAGGAACATCATTATATAAACTCAATGTTCTTAAAGAAAAGTCCTCTATTCTAAAAAGGCCTCCAGCTTTTTATCCCTGTTGCTGCATTAGAAGGACCTCCTGCAGTGAAAACTGGAGCAGCCAGAAAGACACCCTCTCTGAATCCACTTGTGGACCATTTGCCAACATCAAAAGCTGCAGGACCTTTTGTTCTTCTATCAGACTTACCAACTGTGTCCCAGGCAACACATGGGTGACAATACAAATTGTATCTTAAGGAATGGAATTGGCTGCAGTGTAGGAAGTAAAATACACCAAATGTGGAAAATAATGGTTATTTACTCTTTAAGTCGGTCTAGCTCAACAATATATATTGTTTCGGACAAATCTAGAATTTGAGGTCTATTCTACTTGGCCTGATAGTTGTGGATTTTTTTTTTTTTTGCTTCCGACAATGTTTTACTGTCAAATTGTCTGAAACATCCATCTATTAATTCATCCCTTGCCATCATGGCATTTCCTTAAACCATTCCTCTGTAAGGAGGAGCATTCACCAGGAGAAAAAGGTACTTAATCCAACCCATTCGTTGTGAAAAAATTATTCCCTTCTAAATAATAATAACTAATAACTTAATTGCCACCCTTAGAATTCCCCTAATGATTGAAATCATCATTTTAAAAACTGCTTTTGGTATTTGATATAGTTATCGTCATGCAAAAATCACATTTGTGTGACAAAAGAGCAAAATAAGAAGAAATTAGTAAATAAGACCTTTACATGCATACATACAAATATACTTGAATAATAAAAACGTTTCCATGGCAGAAAACTCTGTACTTTAAGGTTCAAAGTGCATTGAATTGAACAAAAATGTACAGAATAATTATTTAGCTGTCACTAGATCACTGAGATTTGACAGTGTTTGAACTATTTCTATGTTGTTGGGGTCTTTTTTTTTTTCTTCTTCTATCTTTGCAATAAAGTCTGTGGCAAATTATTAAATCCACTATGGTATTACAGTTGTTCATAACTAAAATAAAGGAATTTTCTTTCTCCCCCTCCTTTAGTTGACCGCCAATGGTTTGCCCTTTTGGTCTGGATCTAAGAGATGCCCCCATCCCCTGACATTTGACCCTAACAATGTGAGTAGATCTGAATCTTATTCATGCACCAAACTGTTGGAAATAAAAAAGACATGTGTTTTTAGGAATTCGTTCTCATTCCAGCTTTATCTTTTCTGATAGTGCCTTTAAAGATATTATCTTGGCTACAAATGAACGGTTAAATATAATCATCTGCTGTTTACACAAGCTGACATCCTTGATAACAAAGCTGTTTATCTGTCTCACAATAAACCAGGAACAATATGAGCTCTACAGTGGGCAGAACTGAAGATGTGACATGGTCATAAGCAGTCAGGGCTCACTGATGCAAATAGTAGCCGACTTGTGTGATCCAATCCAACAAATTAACAACAATAACTCCAATTCCAAAATAATCGTTCTGATACTGATTTTGATAAATGCTTGCTTTATCAAGCATTTATCCCCACGATGGCTGCCCACTGCTCCCCAAGGGGATTAGCTCCGAGAGGCATCCATGCATACAGAATTTTAACAAAGCACACAAATGAAAATTTGTAACTACGGGAACAGCTCATTGCAGAAACACGTGGCGAATGAGCAGCAGTTCTTCCTATACTGTAGGTATCATGTGATTTAGGCCGAAAATACCACCACTATCAGCTGATTGTAGAAAAACTCCTGGAAAGAAATTACACTCAATCTTGGATGGCACAAAGAGACTTTGAAAAAGCTCCAAACGGCTGTGTTTTCTACTTCCTCGTCTAGTGAGGTGGTTCTCAGCTTTTGGTTTGTGCTGAACATGTCGCAGAGGTTGTGACAGACGGCTTAGATTAGACTTAGACTCAACTTTATTTATCCCTTGGGATTACTCCTTCAGGGAAATTCTGGTTCCAGTAGCTTATATGGAGTACAAAGAGTTAAAAAAAAAAGATGCCATTAAAGATAAAAATACAAAAAATGTATATAGAACAAAAAAGAAAAAATGTGTAATGTCCTGGAATATGTTTCCTTTAGATATAAAATATCTGCACAGTAGATAGCTAAGATACACAGTAGATAGCATTGCACTCGCACTGTAGAGATGTACCAACTTTATCAATAATTACAAAAATTGCACAGGCTTTACAGTAGTTGTCATGTGTTATTGTACAGTGAGAGAGAAGAATATGGCACATAAGTGACGGTAGGTAATGTTTTGCATAAGATGTCCAAGGAAGGGGGTATTGAGCCTTGTTCCTCTTCTTATCACCTCCTCCTTCCCCGTGGTAAGGAGTTGTACAGCTGGATGGCTTGAGGAACAAAGGAGTTCCGCAGTCTGTTAGTCCTGCATTTGGGGAGGAGCAATCTCCCACTGATCAGGCTCCTCTGAGTGGTGAAGACAGTGTGCAGAGGGTGGCTGGCATTGTTCATATTGTCCAGCAGTTTGTTAATTTGCATTGCCTCTACCAGCGTCCACAAAGGGTCCAGCTTCTTGCCTCGCCTCACCAGTTTCTCCAGATTGTACATGCATCAAGCATAACCAACCTTTCGAATGCACAGTGCTTTACCATTTGTTTCGTATTGGGAGCCATAGAAGCTGAGCTGTCAGGGTATATTTTTGATCCCTTCTACTTTAGAACGCACCAACCTTTGGTCGGTAATTGTCAGAACGATGAACCCTGTTTAAATATATGAACAGCAGGATAGGTTGGGTAGGATAGATTCTTCACTGGTGAACTCATGTCACAAGAAATCACCATAGACTCTGGTGGAGGCAATGTGATACCTGAGGAAATGTTCTGCTAATAAACCTCTGGTCCTGCCATCCTTTCTGACACGTGTCACCTACCTAACCATTTTAATAAGAACACCCTCTATGTTCCCCAATGGCTGTGGCTTTTGGCTCTTTTATTTGGATAGTGTTCCCGCCACAAAGCAACAATGGTTCAGACGTGGTTTGCAGAGCACAACAACAAATTGTCAATTCAGAATCTTAAGATCTTGATTCATTTGAGTCCTACTGGTTTGCACTAAATAAACATGTTCAATCCAATGAGGATTCACCTCCTAACTTGCTGGACTTGAGGTAGTGCCTCTAACATTTTGGTGCTACATTGCTCAGGGCACATAAAGGGCTCCTTGGAGTTGGTTTCACAGTTCTCTGGCTTTTTTGGCTGCAAAAAAACGAGAAGAGATTTTTAAGAAGATCATAATTATATGTTGCATTTGGATTGTGTGTTTTAGACAACCCACATCGAGTATGTGATGGCAGCAGCAAACCTGTATGCACAGATCTATGGGATCGAAGGGACGAGAAACATTGCCTCTATCAGAGAAACCTTAGAGACAGTCCAGGTTCCACCCTTTAGTCCCAAGTCCTCTGTAAAAATTCATCTCACTGACAAGGAGATGGAGGAAGACAGAAAAAAAGAGGGAGATGACAGTGGTAAGTAAGCTTACATTAATCTTATGTGTTTTCACCAGCTTATGTAGCCTTCCTGCATCCTCTGCTCCTTTATTTTTGTCTCCTCGGCAGACAAAGCCCGACTTGAGGAGCTGAAAGAAAAGTTGTCCTCACTGAAGAGTTCAGCTGAGATGCACCCCATTGACTTTGAGAAGGTACGTTAGTGGGTACAACGATACCTCTGCTCAATGCTTTGGATTGGCTGCGGACGGTGACAGAATGGAGTCTTAGCAGGGAGCAACACTTAAATCTATAGGTGCTTTCACATCATTTCTTTTCCCAACATCCTAGGAGTCTCAGTGAGCTGAATCTCAGCCAGTGTTCAGCCATTCATTAAAACAGGGCTCAACTGTGCCATGTTTTCACATAGAATGCATCTGCTTAGAGGAGAGGCAGATATTTTAGAAACGTCCTTCCTGTTTTCAGAAATTGAGTGGAAAGGGGAAGAGTTGAGTCATTCGGCTCACGTGGAAAATATATATTTTCTGAAAAGAATAACAAGACGCTGAGTGTTGAACTAGATGTCTGCTCATAATGGTTCACATCTTCCCTTTGCATGAAATATAGTCAAATTTAAAAATGAGGCACTCTTGTGAATGTTAAAAAGATTATTTTCTTAGATGATGCATCAGTAAAATTTATCATGGTCTCATATATCTATAACCAGATGCTTCCTCACTGTCAGCCATAGCTTTAAATACATTTGTCCACCTTTGTTATGAAAATGCTACATCAAACCCAACTGATATAAAATAAAGAAAAACTCATTGAATGGTAGACGAAGGAAAAATGGGAATAAAACATAAAAAAATTATTTGTTATTCATTTTGGAAAATAATCATTTATTCAATAACAGAAGTTGAACTCAATACTTACTTATGTAGCTGGTATTTTGCCCAATTCCTCCATGCAGATCTCCTCTACAGCAGTGATGTTTTGTGGCTGTCGCTGGTTAACACAGACTTTCAACTCCCTCCAAGTTTTCTAGGGGGTTAAGGTCTGGAGATTGGCTAGGCCACTCCAGGACCTTGACAGGCTTTTTTTCAGAGCCTCTCCTTGGTGTGTTTTGCATCACTGACATGCTGGAAGACCCAGCCATGTTCCACCTTCAATGCTCTCCTGATGGATGGAGGTTTTGACTTAAAATCTCATGATAAATTGTCCCATTTATTCTTCCCTTTATATTAATCAGTCATTTTGTCTCCTTTGGTGAGAGACAATTCCATAGCATGATGTTACCGCCCTATGGTGTATGGTGTTTTTAGGATGAAACTGCGTTCTTCTTCTTCCAAACACAACAAGTTGAGTCTTTGCCAAAAAAGTTCTGTTTTGGTTTCATCTGGCTGCGTAATATTCCTCCAATCCTCTTCTGGATCTTCCATATACTCCCTGGCAAAATTCAAACGGGCTTGGACATGTACTGTTTAAGCAAGGGGACACGCCTGGAACTGCAGGATTTGATTTAATCTGTGCTTCTGAAAAGAAGTTACACTTCCAGCGGAGCCAAATTCAGGAAAACTTAAGACTGAGATTCATTTTTTTTTTTTTTTCATAAAACTGCCTCTATCATGAATCTTAACAGGGTAATTTCTCATGCTAAATATTAAACTTTATAAGAAAAAGTTTATAAAATGTGGAAGTGCAGCATTAGAGGAATAGTACACCCAAAACATGATTAGCCTTCATTTTCTACTCACCCCCATGCTGAACAACACTCTGGAGTACTTTTTTTGATATCTCAAATGCATCTGGAGATCTGGGAGGCTTCTTGCTGTCTGCTGACATTCAAATAATGGAGGTCTATGGTGACCGAGACAGAAAGGTCCATAAAAGTCCACAAAAAACGTGTCAATATTCCTCCATACTGCTCGTCCAATGTATTCCAAGTGTCCTGAGTGGGTAGCATCCAGAATTTACTCGAAACGAAGTCATTTAGAATGTTTTTAGAGCATAAACAGTAGTGTATAGGATTTCCTGAAAGCGCGCACATGCGCGCTCATGACGCTACGGAAGCCGGCAGACCAAACCAGATGAAAGTGCGCATTCAGCGTCTGCTCTGCCAATAATGCAAGGGTAGAAGAAGAAATGTGCTGTTTACCTGTGCAAAGAAAGAAACAACGAAAGAAAAATGTCTGAGGACTTCAGTGTTGAGGAAGAGCATGAGTTCTTTGCCGAGCTGAATGCGCTGGTTTGGTCTGCCGGCTTCCGGCACACAGGACATCGAGGATTTTATTCAGTTTTACGGTTTTAACAACATTTTATGTGCCATGTCAGATGAAGGACAACTACCGTTTAACAAGCTCCTAATTTAATGATTTTTAGCTGACACTTTTTTTTTTTACCTTGATACTGATTTTTAACTGACACTTGTTTTACATCAATCATTGTTTATATGTTTTGAATTGTGTAAATAAAGTGTTGTTAAAAGTCACAATTAGTGTTTTTTTAAATATCTTTTTGCCCTGCTGTGTCTAATAATCCCTGTAGTATAAATACAATTGCAAATCAACATGTAATAATTAATTTATCAAGTAATAATGATGATAACAAATGCAAAGTCTTTAGTTTAATGGAATATGTCTATACAAAAAGAATGCATTTAGACCGATAATGTTAATCTTAGACAAAGCAGATTTATTTGTTTTCAAAATTCTCTACAGAGACAATTGCTTTACATAAATGTAAAAGATGTATGAGAAATGTAGAAAGCTGAATAAAACCAAGTAAAGATCAATAATAATATTTTAATAAAGCTTAAAATTCCATCTTCAAACTTAATGTGACATTTCTGATAAAACCTGTTTTTGAAATGTCTACTTGTTATTTGACAAACATTTCCAAAGTTTAAAACAGCTTTATACCATAAACCCAGCTGGCCTACATCCATATTTAGCAGAAATTGTCATCTACATGGAACGCTATATAAAGCCATATAAATAAAAAAATGAAAACTGAAAGATGTTTCTATTATTGAAGAAATTATAAAAAAGTAAATGTGTGGAGTTTGCCAAACATTTTTGGACTTTAAATAGAATTTTGTACTTTAAATGAACCAAACACAGATGGAGCCATACGGCACCAAACTCTTTCCATGGTTCTGGGGTGAAACACGGGATGAATTCATGACAAAGCACCTCATGCTTACTGTAAGGTAAAGTAGAGGATCCATGATGCTTTGTGAATAATCCTATAAAATATTTGGATGTTATACAATACATTTAGGTGCCATCCAACAGAGAATTTAAAATTGGTCATGAACCAACCTGATCCTACAGTACAGTTAGGTTCATAAATATCTGGACAGAGACAATAGTTTTCTATTTATGGTTCTGTTCAATAACATAGTGAATAATGAACAAGGAATTGAGATGCAATTAAAGTTCAGACTTGCATCATAAGGATGATTTTGTATGGAAAGCTCCTTTAACAACATATTTTCTTTACAACAAAAATCTTCCAACTTTGAACATCACACCTCAAATCAACAACAGGCTTTTTATCTGGTTGACTGAGAATGACAGCAAGGAAACTGCCCACACCAGCCAATAAAATACCCTTTTTATCAATTGTCCAATTACTTTTAGCATAAAATCATCCCTCCATGGCTCCCTTATATATAGATCCAATAGAGACCTTGTGATGTGACCTGAATTTTTTTTAAATTTTGATTAATAGTAGAATTGGCACAGGATGACTCAATTTAAAAAGGAAAGCCTAAAGAGCTTCTGGTCAAAACTTTCTGCGGCTGAGTGGAGACAATAATGAAAATGTAGGAGGTAAGTCGGGTGCATATTGAATGTCATTTTGAATAAAAAAAAGACTCCCGAACTCCCCTCTTTTGGTTTTATCCCTGCATGCCCTGGTCATGCTGTGGATGGATGGAATGCGTGTACAAGAGTTCCAGAGGCATCAGGTTGCCACCTAGGAGCTTCCTCACAGACCCTAAAGCTATCCCTGAGCGACAGTCAGCCTCTTACCTTTTGTAAAGCTGTGTGAGCTCATTGCGCACATCAATCACAACACAAGTCATATTTCCTCTGAGTTATGACATTGTGACCACAGTGACTCAAAGCAAGAAAAGCACAAAGCGGGCAAACTGCATCAGGTCCTTGGAATGTGACATAGCATCATGGGAATCAGTTTTATCTGGTTTGTTTAAAATCTGAGCAATTATTTATTTACTGGTGAAGATGATGGATATTTTGATGGCCTTATGATTAACGGGTGTATCACTAACATCTAAACTCTTACAGGATGATGACACTAACTTCCATATGGACTACATCGTTGCTGCATCCAATCTGAGAGCTGAAAACTACGACATCCCTGCGGCTGATCGCCACCAGGTCTGTGTTTACATTGTGGACTTTGTTGTTTAGCTTCTTAAATACTTAAAAATCATCAAAGAACATTTGAACAAGACAAGTTAAAAAGATAATAACAATGTCTAGCTCATTCAAAACAATTAAACACATAGGAGTGACCACTAAGGACGTTAATGTGATATAAACAAAGAAAAAAATAAAAGAAGGGCCTTATCTCCTCCCCCTTGGCCATGTTTTTAGCTGTCGCTTTACCCACCTGCCCTAAAGCTGCAGTAACAGCCTCCTCCCCTATTGTTCCTGGAATGGGACTAATCATGGCACTTTACCTGTTGCCTGGAAGGTGACACCTGAGCCAGGCCTTGTTCCTCCCGGTGCTGTAGACACTTTCAGCCAAGACAGATGGAGGCTCTGAGAGGTGGGGAGCTGCTGAGTGAGGGGAGACAAAAGAGAGTCGTTCACCATTCCTCCCCCCACAAGCATGTGTAATCACTTAGGCTATTTTATAGGCCGCATCTCATTTCCAAAAAACTTCAGTCTTAGACGCCATATCATGTACAATACATTAGTCTTTCTGACTTTTATGATCTTTACATAAACATTTAAATGCATTTCAGGGTCATTACTTAAATGGATTTTAGTATATTCAGACTGGGAGATTTTACATATAAAATACACAGATTTTGTCTTATAAGCTGATTATAACACATCATTATAACACATCAGAGTTTTCTCTAATCATGTTACCAGTTTGTAAGTTTAGAAATAAAAAAAGTTTTAAGAATTTCTTAGTTCTACGTGTTTTTTTGGTTCATTTTTAAAGTCTTTTGACATTTAAATACATCCGTGATATTTTAAAAACATGCATCTGTAAGTTTATGAAGGTAGATTTGTGTCTTTATTATTCAATTTGAGGTTTTATTATTCATTTTTAAAATAGTTGCTTCACGTTCCCCTTATTCTACATTATAATATTTTAAATATGGAGCCCTGCTTATCTGTTCAGGACAATAAAATCCATTGGAAATGGATCCAGTAATAAGTCAACATTTTTTTCTGTCTGTTTTCCTTTTTTATATATAAAGCTGTCATCATTTTCTAGAAAAGGAATTGTTTCAGGTGTTTATTGCCAACTTGTGGTTAGTAATGTATTTCTTTATCATTCTTAGATAATAGATTTTATAAATTCTGCAAGTGATTAAGACAGATTTAAGCTGTCTATAATCACTATATTCTATTTTTTTAATTATTTGAGTTGTATATCTTGAACATCTGTATTTCTTCAGCCTGTGTACATGATGGGAGACCTTTGAACTTTTCATTTTCTCCTTTTACAGAGTAAACGCATTGCTGGAAGGATTATTCCTGCCATTGCCACAACAACGGCAGCCGTGGCAGGCCTAATGTGCCTGGAGCTGTTCAAACTGATTCAGGATCAGAAGAAGATCACCTCCTACCGCACGGCTTACCTCAACCTGGCTGTACAGTACTTTGTCATGTCCCAGCCATGCCACCCACCGAGCTTCGAAGTGAGTAGCCGCTGGTCTAAGTTAAAAGTTTCTGGGGATTCATCTATAAAAGCCTTCAGTCACACAAATCTTCAGTAAAGTATTTTTTCTGTACAGTAAAACAAACCTTTACTTTACATGCATTCATCATTTATTCAGTCTACTTTAGGAAATATGTTGACCTCTGTTTGAAGTAATGTCCCTCCTCTATGGATGGAAAGCATTAAGTCATGAATGAGTGCTTTCAGCTGGATAGCCCACTGCACACTGTCTGGCTCTTGTATATAAGCCAGTCTTTAAGCTGGCTCAGCATAATCTTGAAGGTATTTTAGTGCAACAGACCCAGGCTTGCCTCATTATCTGGGCATATGGAGCAAATTCAAGCCAAGATGTAGGTAAAAGAAGCACATTTTCTCACTTAGGGTCAGGTAAAAGCTTGATAGGTCTGTTTGGGTGCAATAATTATTTAAACTTCTTATTCAACAATATTAGCTGGCAGACTTCAAAGCCAGTTTACTGTTGAGGAAATATGGGAAATCACTGTTTGTGTCTGTAGCTCACCTCTAACTGTAATCAGATACACCCATGTGTGCCAGTTTTTTTCTTAGCCAAAGGTCGATGAGTGCCAACAAATGGGGGGGTCTGTGTAACTAAATGGTGCAGTGAGGGGGCTTGGAGACAGTGTAGATCTGATTTCAGCTTTGGTTACAGGGAAAAATTCAGCATCTGCAAAAAAAAAAGGCCGCCTTGATGACAGAAGCAGCTGCCATTTACTACACTTTTGACTCCAGGCGTTTTCTCTTTTTCACTTGCAAACCCATGGGGGTTCTCATAGTTTATTTTGAAGCTGCTATTTTTATCAAGGTAATAGAAGGGTTTATTCAGTCTGCTGTGTCTTTTAAGAAGTAGGGTTGGATGTTAAAATTCAGATCCAGGATCTTCTGTCTTGGATTGCAGCTTTAGGTTTAGGGTTCAGGCGTCATGATGCTTCTAATTGAAGCTGTCATTCCAGCCAATGAAGACTTTGCAGTCATGCCTAATATTGTCCTAAACTGTATGTTACATTTTTTAAGGATACTGTCTATAAAAGTATGAAAAGGATTATAAAATAGATTATTGATTCTGTTTTTTCCTTTCCCATTCTATCTCTGTCTTTTTGAATTTCCATCCATTAGTCTGTGGTTCATGCAGGTTGCATATTCAATAGCAGAAAACTGTAGAACTAGTTACCCTTGAAATAAAATTCAAATATCTAAGTCAAAAAATATGGTAAGCTTCATGCTATAAAAATATAGAGAAAACTTACAGGAAAGCTTTATTCATTAAAAAATCTGCCTGGAAAGGGCGGGGAGGGCATGCATGCAACAAATGGTTTGAGGCCAGTAGCTGAATCCCAGACGCTTAGACTAGGAATAATAAACCCTGTATATGATCCACTAAAACTTTACTGTTGACATGTGTTTTAAGAAGAAGGCATTGCCTAAAAGCTACTTCAGGTTATCAACTTGAGCTGTTCTCCTGCTTCACAGATTTGCTTTTTGTCATGAGAATATCATAAGTTATCCCCAACAATGTGGGACATCTACTTCAGCACCTTAACGTCCCACATTCTACATTTCATCCGCTGACCCTGCCTGCCCGCTGCTAACCCCAGCGTCTGCTTGGTTTTCTTCTACCCTTCCTCCACGCTATCACTCTCTTTGTGCCCAGGGGTCAATCACCCTCTCATCACTTCCTGACATGCTGAAGACATGTTTGTTGTGTGTAGGTGAATGTGTGCGCGTGTGTGTCTGTGTGGTGGGGTTTGTCAATATTTTATTGAGCTCTCATTGCTCAATTAAATATTGATCAGCAGGTCCAAGGAGTGATGGAGCAGAGCCTGGACACCAACTCAGATTTACACTGCTTTGATAATAAACCTGAGAATCGTCTTAGTAAACTCATGCAGACCTTCAAAAAAATGTTTTACTGTTATTGTTCTTTGATTGGTTCATAATACTATTTTAATTATTAAAACAGGACAAGATATAAATAGCAGATTTTTCATCAAAAAAAGAAGCATGTCTCAGATACAGATATGACACATGGTTGTCATGAGATATTTGTTTTCCTTTTTTGATTTTACCCTGCCTGAAACATCTCTGAATTATTCTTTTCTATTCCATATTTAAGATTATTCTGTAATACTTACTATAAGAACGTAGTTTTACTAATTTAAACTAATCCCACTCACTTATCCTTACCTCAGTCAGTCCAGAAACATGAATTTCAAGTATGAACAAAGCATTATTTGGAGCATAACGCTAATGACCTTTATTTCAAAATTATATATTTGAACTGGTGTTGAATGATGAATTATGACTTCCTTGATGATTTTTTTCCCCCTCTATGACTTCAATGCAAAAGGAAAATGAAAAAAAAAAAAACCTTTTCACACTTGAATTGAATCCTAATTGTGGAAGAGATACTCTTCTACAGTGCTCCAGTCTAAGGTTTGATCCCCCGTCCTGCATTGATTTTGTAAATAGCCCACTCACAGACCCACTCACCTAATACACATATTGGTGAGTATTGATCAGCACTTATTGAGTGCAGATATGTGATAAAGTTCTTGTACTGTATGTGTGAATAGGTAACTGAGAAAGATGCATTGAATAACTCTTTCCAGAACCTAGTCATTCAGTTGAAATTTACTTAAAAACTTTCTGAAAAATGGCAATTGACTCTTAAACAATATTCCTGCAGCATTTAAGCTTTGATTTGATTTTACTTCACATTACTCTGAGCTCATAACAAACTCCTTATTTAACATTAAAGCTAGTAAAGGCAGAGCATAAAGAGTGAACATTATCATATTTGTTTAAGGTTATCTTCATCTTTTGTCCACTTTGTAGTATGGTATCTATGGAAAAGTGCTCTCATTGAGTCATTTAATGTGTTTTCTATCAAAAATATCTATTGAATGCATAATAATACTTAATATGCTTATATATTGACATGTTTTTTTTTTTTTTTGAAATATCCTTTAGTAATGTACTTACATGAATTACATGTTATTTTTAAATTCCTTGCCACTATTTGAAATTCAAAAATGTCTTAGAGTTTTTCCCAACAAAGGACCCCGGATCCTGCCATGTGGCAGAAAAACAAAACAAAACATTAAACCTGTTTTTCTTTTCCCTTCAACATTTTAACGCTACAGTCTTGAATTGTCTAAACTGTCTAGATAGTCTAAACTGAACTGAATAGAGTGAGTATCTAAATACATTATTTCCAAATAGGACTAAAAACATTTAAAGGAAATGCAAATAAAAGGTCTGGTTATTAATACTGTCTTATCTCTCTGCGTTTAGGCAGGGGTTTTTGCTGGAAGCTTTTGTTACAAGTTCAGACGTGCAGCTGCTAAATATCAGCGATCAGACATGCAGTATCAAGAGCTCAGATTACTCTAGCAATAACTTAGACCCCCACCCCTATGAGCTCAGTCTCAGTTCATTAATATCAAGTAACAACACTCACATCTCTTTGATTTGACTGTTGGCCTACCAAGTGTTTTCCAAAGTAGTCAATAGTCACCAATCACCCTGATGTAACCTGCCCTAATACCTGAACTGCTATTATTGAAATCTAATTTAGGAAAAGTTTATAAAATGTAATTCTCTGCTGTTTTATCACAAGAGGCATTATCTCTGCCACCTAATCATCCTTCAGGGTAGTTAGTGTTTTAAAGCAGCCGTTTACTATAAAAGGAAGTTCCCCTGCTCTCTCTCTGCTCCCTCTGCTTTCTGTAGGGTTAGAAATATGTAAACAAAACGGAGATTGTCCTTGTCTGCTCACTGTAATTCTGTCAATCGTGTTTTGCCCTCATGTCTTACACTTTGGGAACCAAGACCAAGAAAGGAATTATAGAGCATGTCTGTTTGGTTCACCAAAAGAAAAACGGGGAAATAAATCTCCTGATTGACTTGGAGGCTATTGCAGAGTGGTGAAGTCATAATTCTGTTTGAGGAACCAGTTATAGATTTATTTAGCTTTCCTGCAACAACTGTTGAAATTAGCCATCAGAACAGGGCTGCTCTGTGACCACGAAGGGAAGGGCATGGCCAGCAACAAGCATCTGGATTATAAATGATGCTCGGATTTCAACTAAGGGGGTTCAATGTGTGCAGGGAAATCCAGCAACCCTATTAAGACATTTTCAAGGCTGATTGGTGAGGGTGATTATTGCTGCTGGCATTCCTTCGTTCGGAGATGTTTGTGGTTTGAGTGGTAAACTTGCAGATTTTGTTGCTGCAGCCATATTGAGAAAATGTCCTGTGACTTGATGATCACAAACAAACAAAAAAATCCCTCAATACTTTTTATTAAGACAGGGTGAACTTTTACTCACATGACTGATCCGCTGTTTCTGCTGCATCTTCCCAGATATTCCTACTATGTACATAAACATGGCTGAAAGCAGCATCGCCATTACTAACTGATATGTTAACTTCAGACAAACTTCTTCGATTGCACCACATTCATTAAAACATTCCTTCATTACTGATCTGTGGCCCGTGCTAAATTACAGGCTGTCTCTCCTGTTTACTAGAGCCATGCGTTATGACACAATGTGGACGACAACGTAGGATGTTTTTGCAGTGCTTAGTTAATTTGCTTTAAACCCAATGGAACTTTAAAATTTCACCTAAAATTTCAATTGAATGAAAAAAACGACTATTCATGGTCTTTAGGAAAGCCAGAAAGGATGCTCTCTACTTTAGGAGCTGCTGCACTGATTTATATTCTATGGTTTAAGATTTAATCCTAGTTTTAATACCTAAATGTTAAGATCTGGTGGTTTGAAAACAACACATTATTTCTGATCAAACCAGTCTGTATGTTTGTCAGTATTTAGTTGCTGTCAGCATGTGACTTGCATGGTAAAGTGCGAGCTATTATGATGGGGTCCAGATACATATAAAGTAGAATGCCTGAAACCCATTAATTGTGTTAGAGACTCCTTTAGAAGCAAGAAAGGA